TGAAGAGATCTACGAGGCTGCAAGAGCTGCCATGATTCACGATAAAATCATGTCTCTTCCAGACGGTTGGTTGTATTTTATCTACTCCCAGCTTTTCTTGCCCAAGGAAACATTTTTTTCAAATGAAATACCTTCGAATGTTTGAGAGATTCTTGGTTTATACTTTGCACCTGAAAGACTACTTTGAAATGTGCTGCACATATCTTCGTATACATTCATTTTAACACAATCGAGCTTGATTTGTTTGAGAAGATTTGCTCATGGTTTCCGAATATTTTCAGGGTATGACACACTTGTTGGTGAACGAGGTTTGAAGCTCTCAGGTGGTGAGAAACAGCGAGTTGCTATTGCTCGAACTATACTGAAAAGGCCACAGTTCATCTTTTTGGATGAGGTAAGATTAATCCATGATTTCTCGTCTACTTGCATCTTTCTTTTGCTTTTTTGTTTTGGCTTTGAAAACTTTTTCTTTCTAGGCTACATCCGCTCTTGACACTAATACTGAGCGTGCAATACAACGATGTCTTGAAGAACTCTGTGCCACCCGGACAGGAGTAGTCGTAGCACATCGGTTGAGTACAGTGGTTAACGTTGATTGTATACTGGTGTTGGACAAGGGTCGAATTATAGAGCGGGGAAGGTGAGAACTACAACAAAATTTGGTACATTTCCGTTGTTTGGACTTTTTTGACGAGGGCATCTTCCCAGTAGAGTCAAAAAATTCTACCACCACATTGGAAGAAACATTTTCCATGCTGAAAACAATACCTTTTGTAACTATCATGGTTCTCATGATACTCCCTTTTTTACGAAGTCAATCAAATTTGAGACGTGGTTGCCATCGCGTTACAAGCTTGCAAAATTTAGGAGTATTTCATGTTGTTCCCTTCCTGACTCATCTCTTTCCCTTCTCCAAAAAAAATTTCTGGGACCACCGCTATTATTCACATATGTAAAGTTAAGCTCTCTACAATCGAGTTTACATCAAAAGCGCCTCGTTCGGAAAATGTGCGGAAAACGGAAAAGAACAAAATTATTCCT